CTTCTATGTATACAATAATGTCATCTGCAAAGAGAGATACTTCACCTCTTCTTTTCCTATTTGAATGCCTTTTATTTTATTCTCTTTTCTGATTGTGTTGGTGAGGACTTCCAGTACTATATTGAAGGGGAGTGGAGAAAGTGGGCATCCTTGTCTTGTATCAATCATTAGCAGAAAGGCTTTCAGCTTTTCCCCATTCAGGATGATGTTAGCTACAGATTTTTCATAGATAGCTTTTACTGTGTTGAGAAAGGACCCTTCTATGCCAATTTTGCTGAGCATCGTGATCATGAATGGATGTTGTATATTACCAAATGCTTTTTCTGCATCAATTGATATGATCATATGATTTTTATCTTTCTTTCTGTTAATACAGTGCATTACATTTATGGTTTTACGTATGTTTGTTGAACCAACCTTGCATCCCTGGAATAAAGCCTACCTGGTTGTGATGCATAATCTTTTTTATATGTTGTTGGATACAATTTGCTAGTATCTTATTGAGAATTTTTGGGTCTATAGTCATCAGAGATATTGGTCTATAGTTTTCCTTCCTTTTCCTGTCCTTGTCTGTTTTAAGGAGAAGAGTGATGGAGGCTTCATAGAATGAATTGAGAGAGTTTCACCCTTTTGGATCTTTAGAAATAACTTGAGCAGAATGGGGCTTAACTCTTCTTTAAAAGTTCTGTAGAATTCAGAGGCAATCAGAGCTTTTCTTTATTGGGAGATTATTACTCATTCAGTCTCCTGGATTGTTATGGGCCTATTCAGACTTCTTACATCCTCCTGACTCAATCTCGGTAGATTATGTGTCCAGAAATTTGTCCATCTCATCCAGATTTTCTTGTTTGTTAGCATATAGTTGTTCATAATATTCTCTAATGACGTTTTGTATTTCTATTATGTCTGTTGTTATATTGCCTGCTTCACTGCAAATTTGATTTACCTGGCTCCTTTCTCTCTTAATTAGTCTAGCTCGTGGTGTAACAATTTTGTCTTTTCAAACAACCAGCTTTTATTTTCATTTATTTTCTGTATAGTTGGTTTATTGTCTATTTTATTTATCTATGCTTGAATATTATTTTTTTTCTCTTGGATTTTTTTTTGGTTTTTTTTGCTGTTGCTTTTCCAATTCTTTGAGGCATGATGTTAGGTGGTCCATTTGCCTTCTTTCCACATTCTTCTTATGAACACTAATTGCTATGAACTTCCCTTTTATGACTGCTTTTGCAGTGTCCCAAAGATTATGGAAACTCATGTTCTCATTGTCTTTTGCTTCCATGAATCTTTTGATTTCAGTTTTAATTTCTTCAGTAGTTGTGAAGTCATTCAAATGTAAGTTATTTAGTTTCCATGTACTTGGGTGTTTTTGAGGATTTTTCCTGAGATTAATATGAAGTTTAATTCCATCATGGTCAGAGAAGACGCTGGATATAGTTTCTATGCCTTTGATTCTGTAAAGGCTTGCTTTGTGTCCTATCACGTGGTCAATCTTCGAAAAGGTTCCATGGGGGGTGAGAAAAAAGTATATCTCATGGTCTTGGGGTGGAAGGTTGTACAGATGTCTGTTAAGTCCATTTGATTTACGGTATCATTTATGTCTTTTATCTCTTTACTTATTTTTTGTCTAGATGGTCTGTCCAGGGGAGACAGTGGGTGTTGAGGTCTCCAACAATCAGTTTATCTCTTTTTTAGATCTAACAGTCTTTCCTTCATGTATTTGCATGCTCCTGAATTAGGTGCTTAGATATTTATAAGGGTTATATGTTCTTAATGGATTATCCCTTTTACTACTACATAGTGCCCTTTGTCTCTTCAAATCTTTTTTATTTTAAAGCCTATTTTCTCATAAATTAGTAACCGCAACTCCAGTTTTTTTGGTTCCCATTTGCATGGAGTACTTTTTTCCAGCCCTTCACTTTTAGTCTATGTATGTCTTTATCCATGACATGCATTTCTTGTAGACAACAGATAAAATGTTTCTGGATTTGTTTTATCCATTCAGCTAGTTTGTGTCTCTTGATTGCAGAATTTTACCCATTAACATTCAATGTTATAAAAAAAATTTCAATGCTATTATTGATATTTCTGGATTTGTCACAAACTAAGTTGACCATTGTCTTGGTTTTCTTTTATTCTCTTATTTCTGGCTATTCATTCTTTAGTTTTCCTGGAATAGGACCTTTTTTTTAAAAAATCTAAATGTTTTAATAGCAAGCACAGTTGATATATACATTTCCATGAACACAAATCTAACTTTAGGCATCCTATGAAGTATCACCTAGCTGGGGCTATATATCTTAACTGCGGTCATCGAATGAATTTTTTTTTTTCTGAAACTTTTCTTTTTTTTTTTTTTGTCCTAAGCATCATCATAGCATACAAAATGTGATTTCCCATCTAGAATATACTGCATAGTGACTTAATCATGCATATTATTATCCAAAATTTTCTATTCCTCTTTCTGATCCTCTGTCCTTTCCCACTCTCTTCTCCCACTGTCTCTAGTGTCCACAATTATCTTCTATTCCTTTTCCACCCACATTGTATTGACCACACAATTTCTTACATAATCTAACTACTTTCAATGGTGAGTTCATTCATTACTAAGAAAAGCAGTTTTAACTTAAATCAAAGAAACGCCAAGGATCTTTGCTTAAAGCCAGGAAACAGGTTAGGATTCTGTTCAAATGGTAGGTGCATGAACCTATCAGTCTCATGTACTTTTATCTTCTGT